TTCATATTGATTTGGCCAAAGTATATCATGCTTCAATCAAAGCCTGAGGCCATGCAAACGCCTCCGGTGACCCCTACGTCATGCAGCGCTGTGCCAGGGGCTGAGGGGTGATGGGACTCAGCTGCTCAGGCTGTTTCAGGTGCTCGGTGAGGCTCGGAGGCCTTGAGTCGCTGTGGTTATACTTGACTAGGCCATTTCAGGATCCAAATATCCTTGACTGCTGTGTTTTGCAGACCTGTTGAAGTGGATCCTCAAGAAGATTCCGGCCAAATGTGAGCTGCCACCTGGCAAATCTGAGATTCTAGGATTCTTTTAACAGGAGCTTGGAACGTTTTGAACAAGTGAACAGGCACCGATCACGGGCTTTGTCCGCCAAGCAAGTGGGCGACCTTTCTTCTTTTTGGATTCTCAGGCCCAACTGACAGAAATATATACCACTATCAAATCTCAACTTGGCTCCCAGTGGCAGTAGCTTAGTAGGGTGATGGGCAGGTGTTTGTCTGAACACGAGCTGTGACCTTCCAAGCTTTTCTGAGATGGAGCGCTTTCCAGCCTCCTTCTGCAACTCGACGCCAGAAGCAGGCAAGCCGGGTGCAAATGGAGCTGATTCCGTATTTGGGATCTCTGGTCCGTCACTCCCATTTTGTTTGATGGAGTGTGGAGATTCATCCAAGACTCGTGCCAGGCACATGCATGAACCCTCCGCGTGATCTGCTTGTGAGTTGGACGGTCTTTTCAAGGGGCCCTGACACCAGGAGCAAGAAGCTACTTGCTCCTAGCAACTATTTGCTCCTAGTAGCGATGCCTGGAGCGCCTAGTAGAGCGAAGACCGAGTCAGAAAGCAGACGCGCGAGTCAGACAAACACGAGTCAGAAAGAACAAAGGCGCGAGTCAGAAAGCCGACTCGGCAAATCGCCGGCCGACTCGGCACAAAGCGCCGGCCGACTCGGCACACCGGCGCCGGCCGACACGGAAACCCGCCGGCCGACTCACGCCGGCCGACTCGCACCATGGCCGCCTAGTAGCTTCTTGTTACTAGTGGTACGGCCAGGAGCCCCTAGTAGCGTCCTTGCTCCTAGGAATTCACATTGCTTGATCCTATCACTCCCAAGAGTCATTCCTCTCTCTCTCTCCCAGGTCACACGAGTCACGCCTGGGTCCAGCTTATTGACGAGACAGTTTTTTATGTTTCTTTTCGTTTCTGTTCTTTTTCTTTTTAGATATATAAGTCTATATTTTCTTTTGTTTTTTTTGTATTTGTGTTCTTTTATTTTGTTTTTTCTACTTCTTTTCTTTTCGTTATTACTTTTATGTGTATTTTCTGCAGTTTCTTTTCTTTTTTTGTCAGTTTTATTGTTTTTGTGATTTTTTTGGGGTATATTTTAGAATGTTAAATAAATATTTTTGGTTTGTATCATTTGCCTATTTGTGTTTTTTTGTATGTTTTCTTTTGATTTTTGCTTTGTCATTTTGTATCCTTTTCTTTTCTTTCCTTTTTGATTTTGGTTGTCGTTATATTATCACAGTTTTTGTTTTTCGTTCGTTTTTGTTCACTATTCTCATGGGGCGGGAAGTGGACGAGAGTTTTCGCAGTGTGGAGAATCAATGGCCGTAGGTTAAGGCCCACCGGTGGATTGATTCATAGAGGGGATAACCCCCAAAACGTGCCACCGACCAATAGGTCAATGGTACCTGGCACTGACCTCTTTCTTCTTCCCAAGTACGGACATCACTAGGAGAAGCTGGAGAACCGTTCGTTCTTAGGTTCAAGGCCATTGCTACTAGGTTGGAGGCCATCACCCGACCTATGGTACCATCGACCGACGTGGGGACCGACGGCGTACAGGTGACCGCTGCGACTTTCAATGCGATCAAAGGGTTTTTGCCAGCCAGGCAGCGGGATGGGTGGAGGATCAGCCACTTGTGTTTTGAGTTGGGCTTATCGCAGTGATTCTTACTATGGGGCAATCCAACCAGAAAGATGGAACGACATGGGAAGGCAATTTTTTCGACGATCTCACATTCGTTTGCTTGAGGATGACGCTGAACATCGAGTTTCTAGCATGATTCTTTTGATCAAATTTGCTGCCGGCTTCCTTCCTCCTCAGCTGCCATCCCTGAGAGAGAGAGCAGTAAAGGCTGCAACATAGAGCAAGATTTTCTGAAGGCGGGATACATTCAGACACTGCGAGGATTACCTGCTGTGCTTCTGCTTGAAAATAGGCCCGGATCCTGATTCTCACCGACTCTTTTTCGCTTTTCAGAAATCTTTGGGTTTCCCACATCTTCCTCAAAACTCCAAACCGGCTTTTTCAGGGTCCAGACTCCAAACCGCACCTGCTTTAGTTCCTTCGACGGTGGAGGTCATGGGCAAGGTGCACGAGCGCATCAGCTCCACGGTGCAGCTCCCTGAGGACCGTTGCGGTCGGAGGGGACGCTGCAGACAGAGGTGGAAGACGTGACATGCGGGTTGACATATGGTCATATGATCTGGGGCTGGTAGGAGGTCACATGGCGGGTGGGCTCCAGTGCGAAGGAGTGGGTGATGGGATGGGCATTTATCTTGGTTTCTTGATTGAAGTTTGGGATAGGCCCGGCAGGATTGACCAGGACAGAATGTATCCTTGATCCGGAATAAGTTGTCAGAACAAGACACTTCTAAATTTGAGGAAGATAACAGACTTCATCTGAGGTATGTTGGGAATCCCTCATTAGGCCTTGTACTTTTCAAGATTACTGTCGAGGGAGTCACCTGCAAACTTGAAGTTTCACAGGATTATCAACAGGAGGACAGTGTCTAGGATCGTGGGGTTTTAACTCCTGTATGTGTTTTCACAGTTGTTTTTATCTAATCAACGATAGGAAGTGACTTCAGAGAGCACTCATTCTCGCATTTTTGCCTGCCGTGACATGGCTCAAGCTCTTCACTTTACAAAACACAAACTGTTTCAGCAGGCTGCCCTTGCAGCCTGCGCTTTTCACCTAAAACTCCATAGTGTGCCCCGCTCGAACTCGAACTCGAACTCGAACTGAAACAGTTATACAGTATTGATGAACTTAACCTTGAAAGGATATATATGGAAGGAACCGAACTCGAACTCGAACTCGAACTCGAACTGGAACTGTTAGAAGTCAACCCAGTGGACGAATAGAAAGAGTCGAACTCCAAAATCGCTGTCGTCGATTCGAATTCGAACTCGAACTCGAACTGGTCCCCCCCCCGGTGTCAAAATTGTCGTCGATTCGAAATTCGATCTCGAACTCGAACTGCGTTTCCCCCCCTCCGGGCGTCAAAATTGTCGTCGATTGGAATTCGAACTCAAACTCGAACTAGTTCCCCCCCCGGAGTGAAAAAATTATCGTCGATTCGAAGTCGAATTCGAACTAATGCTGCGTTGTAATGGCTCCTTCCTATTCTAAATTTCACCTTCAAATGGCCCATAACAGGAATGCTACAGTGTAATATAATGGCTCCTTCCGGCTGTAAATTTTACCCTCGGGTGGCCCACAAAAGGCATGCTACGTTGCAATGGCTTCTTCCTTTTCTAAATTTTACTTTCGAATGGCCCATCAAAGGAATGCTACGTTGTAAATCGTTGTAATGGCTCCTTCCTACTCTAAAATTTACCATCGGGTGGCTCACAAAAAGAAATGCTTCGTTGTAATGGCTCCTTCCTGCTCTAAATTTTACCCTCGGGTGGCCCACAAAAGGCACGCTACGTTGCAATGGCTTCTTCCTTTTCTAAATTTTACCCACGAAAGGAATGCTACGTTGCAATGGCTTTTT